CTGTTTTTCTCTACTCTTTCTCTTCTATTTCACCGATACTGATCTTTAGGCTCTCCTTTGATGTATGTACGTGGGGTTTAATATGCTCTTCTTATTTGGTTTCTTTTTTTTTTTAATTTTTATTATTTTTGTGTGAGTGTACCGTCAAATCAGATCTGACTGGTACAGGAGGAGATTGTCCCTCCTTCCCCGGCAGAGCATCTGGTGTATTGGAACCGTTGGCCTCTGGGACTGTAGTTGCAGCTCCTTGCCACTAGGCCACCAGCGCTCCCCTTAGTTTATAATTTTTAAGTGTGCAAAACATGATGAAGAAGTTTGAAACATTGTGAAAATTATCAAAATGTGAGAGACACGAGGTGAGCACATGCAGCTGGAAAAATGGCAACGGTGCAGCGTTGTCACGGATTTTCAATTTGTGTGTGTGTGGGCTTTCCCTTTTAAAAAAAGCAGTATCTGCAAATTGCAAGAAAACAAGATCTGCTTTTACTAAACACGATGCCCTCAATCACAACAAAAAATGTGGCTGGGACCCACCTGGGAAAACACTTTGCAGTCCAGAGGGGAGCAAATGACAGGAAAATATCTTCTAACAGAACAAGAAGGCAAGCAGCCTAACTAACCCAAGATCACCAGTAAGGTGATAAAGCGTCCTCCCTTTCTCCCTTCACATCAACGCCCCTGTTCAGTGTGAAGAAGCCAGAGAGTCGGCATCCAGTTCCCAAATCAATAAGACAGTTGGTTTAATCACCATTGGAAAAATGCTTATCATTCCCCTGTAGCATCTGGTCCCCACTGGATCCTTTTCATTTCCTTCACCTGCTCCCCCCACAAACCACTTTCTGCAGCTCTGCAACTGCACCCCTGCCCATCCTCACCCTTCTGCCCCCAACCCTCGCCTCCTTGTACCCCCAATATGTTTTTCCCAATAAAATGAAACAAAAAATAATAAAACCACCAACAAACAAATTAAAAAAAAAAAAAATCTCATCTCTGATTAGAAAAAACCCCACCCACCCAGCCAGGCGGCGGAATCCTTAGTGTTGGTGTCACCCCGCCCCCATCGCCTGCCAGTCAAGGTGTCACAGGCCCGCCATTGGGCGGAAAGGGTTTCCGCTTTGACCAATGAGGAAAGAAGCTGTGGGGCGGCGCGGGGTGGGGCAGGAAGGACCGGTCCGCTCCCCTCACCAGGCGTGGGGTTCACCGGCCCGCCCTCCGACTAGAGAGTGACACCTCGGAGTCACCGCCCTGGGTACTACTCACCCTAGTGACGCCACTGGTGCCAGGAGGAGCCGCGGCCCTTCGGAGTCTCTTTCCGGTCTAGCGGTGACTACTTCCGGAGCGACGCCGCGCGAGGCGGAAGTGCGCGCTCCTCGCAGCTGCTGTCTCCGGGCGGGCGGAGGGAGGCTGCCGAGGCGGGGGCCGGGCCGGGATGGCGGCAGCGGCGGCCGGGACCGCAGGCTGGGCGGCCCAGGAGAAGCAGTTCCCGCCGGCGCTGCTGAGCTTCTTCATCTACAACCCGCGCTTCGGGCCGCGCGAGGGAGAGGTGCGTCCGCCGGCAGTTTAGGAGGGCCGGGGAGGGTACCGGGGACAGGAAGGCTCGCGGCGAGACCTGTCCCCCTGCCCTCGCTGAGCGGCCTTTCCCCAACTCTTGGTTGGTGTCAGGTGTGGCTCTGGGGACGCGCTGGGACCTGCAGACGCCGGGTGAAGGCTTGTCTCCTGAGCCCGGACTGGTCCGGTACGGTCCTGACAGCTGCACCGCTCACGCCCCGCGCAGGTGCCGGCCCGCAGCCTGGGCGCGCGCCTGTGCAGGACCTGGCGCGGCGGGAGTGCAGGGAGGGCTGTAGTCCTCAACGAATGCAAGTTTGGAGGCCCTCGGAAAGTTCCCCCCATGCTGATGGCTTTCTAGCTTTCATCGTTTGTGTTGTGTTGTTGTTGTTGTTTTTCCTTTTAACTTGTCCTGTGTTTTGTGGAGTGAGCTACGTTTTGTTGGTAGCAGAGCTCGATCTTTTGACAGCTGTCCGTCCAGATGCTCATGAGGCTGCTACCTTTAGTGTGCAGGGAGATGCAGGGGTTGCGGACCCTGGTAACGCAGAGCATGAAGTCTTGGACTACAGTCCAAAAAAGTCAAATGGTAGAATCCACCGGCCACTCCGAGGGAGAAAGATGGGTAGTTTCTTCCTAACGTACACATTTACAGTCCCAAAACCCCTTGGAGGGGCCCACGGAGTCGGAGCCGCCCTAATAGCATTGGGTTTAGGGTAGATATTGTAGATGCCTTGGTGATGCAATCGTTAAGTGCTTGCCTGTGAGCTGGAAGGTCAGAGGTTGGGTTGGATTAGACGAGCAGCGGAGTAAAACCGTGGCAGTCGCAGTCGCTCCAGTAAAGAGTTGCTGCTTTGGAGCCTCTGTGGGGCAGTTCTACCCGGTCCAGTGCGTCACTGAGCCTGCACCCCACTAGCACATGATCGGGACGCCCCTGTACCTGTGTGCGTGCACACGCTTTGTTTTCATTAGCCTGAGGATGGGAATCCAGAGATTGAATTTTCACGAAAAAAAAAAAACTGACCAGTGTTAATCTGATGAATTGGAATTTGCATACTGAATGTCCAAATAGTTTTTCAGATGGATGATATTTATGCAGTGGTATAGAGATAAACCGGGTTTTTGTTGGGTTTAAGGGTTTGGATTGGGTTTTGGGTGGTTGTTTTTTTACTGCCTATATAACAGGAGAGCTCTTGTAGCCTAGGAGTCTGTAGGGATTGTGCTGCTAACAAAAGGCTGTGCCTCTCGTCAGTTCGAATCTATCAATGGCTCTGTGTGGGGAAGATGGGCCGACTGTGCAAGCTCTGCACATGTGATTTAGCCTCAGAAATCCAGAGGGTCAGCGATGAGTTTGCTCCTAGCTGGACAACAGGGCTTTTTAAAAGTGTGTGTGTGTGTGTGTGTGTGTGTGTGTGTGTGTGTGTGTGTGTACGCGTGTGTGTACGCGCTCGCCCCCCTACCGTCAAGTCAGATCTGACAGGTACAAGAGGAGATTGCCCCTCCTTCTCCAGCAGAGCATCTGGTGGATTTGAACCACATACCTCTGTGATTGCAGTGCAGTCTCTTGCCACTAGGCCACCAGAGCTCCCTGGTTGGG